AAGTGTCTCATACAACAAAGAAACATTGGCTGAAATACAAAGGACGAAATGGAATAACTTAGCTATGTGGTACAGTATTGAAAGCTTTCCAGAATAACATTGGCCTCGCTCATTAAAGTGATGGGTGACGATGCATGTATCAATGGAATTTCCTCATTATAAGCATATATTGTCAATGTGTCTTAAAATACTGGATTGTGAAGCATCATCTCCAGATGTTAGCCTGACTCATTCAGTCACATTCACACATCTGGATATGAAGGCCATGAGTTCATGCCCTTGACATTGCCACAGGTGCCATCTTTTAGATTTGTTTAACCAACTTGTCTGTTTAGATGGTTGCTAAAGATTCCATGGCTTTATTTAATAACAAAAGTGAGTTTTCCAAGTGTTGCGGTCAAAATATTTTCTTTCAGGCTATTTGTGACTTCATCTCTCGGTGGTTTGAAATCTTGCCAATGCTAAAAGCTGCCTAGCTTTCCTTTCAATGGCAGAACTGAGACCCACCTCCACACACCCGTGCTCTGCCACCTCATCACAGCCCCATCCTCTCACGCACCTCCACACACTTCCACCCTCCAACCCAGCTCCACACACCGCCACCTTCCTACCCACCTCCACACACCTCTAACCTCCCATCTACACACAGCCCCCACCTTCCCACCGCCACCCCACATACCCTCCCACACACACCTGCCACCCTCCCACCGCCACACTCCCCACTCTCCCACCCACCTACAACCTTTGTGTCGTACCTTAATGAAAAAGTTGAGGAAGTGCACTGAAAAAGTGCACATTAGGACCGAGAGTCAGTCAGTAAGAGAAGTAGAGTAAGCACCCACTCATCAAATATTACAGATGAGTCAGTGAGCTACGTCTGCCGCAGGTCTTTGTAGATCAATGAGTTCCTGTTGCAACCTGCACAGTGGAATGACACATCAATAGGTCTTTTGTGATGTTTCAATCTACATTGCCGTATCTAACCCTTCTGCATCAGTTTCTGATAAAATGATTTTCTAAAACTCTGAAGTAAATTCCAGTCAGGATGATACAAACTGACATCGAGCTGTTTACTTTCCAACCGTGGGATGATCCTGTGATTGCAGTTCCACAGAATACGTCCAGCGTCTAATCTGCTCATCTTGAGAAGTTATAATACTACAATAACAACAAAATTACATTTGTAAAGCACCTTTCACGTCGGGAGGATGTTCCAAAGCGAATAACAGTCTGTGTTTCGGACCCGAGCTGGGTGTAGGGATTGGGGAGGGTGGGAGGGAAGCAGGGTGATCAGAAGCACTGTTGAATTCTTTAGATGGGTCTTGAAGTAGGCAAGGGAGGGTGGCAAAGAGACTGTGGGATGGAGTTCCAGAGGTTGGGGGCAGAGTGGCTGAAGGCCCACCTGCCAATGGTAGGGCAGGCGAGGTGGGGGCATGAAGCAGGCCGGAGCCCACTGAGCGTAGGAAGTCGGCAAGATGTTAGGGCGTTAGGAGATTGCAGAGGTAGGAGGGAGCAAAGCCATGGAGGGCTTTGAAGGTGATCTTGAATTGTATCCTCTGTGTGATGGGAAGCCAATGGCATCGAGGGAGGATGGGGGTGATAGAGTCATGGAACCTGGTGTGGGAGAGGACATGGGCTGCAGTGTTCTGGATGATCTACAGCCTATGGAGGAAGGAGTTGGAGAGACCGACAAGCAAGGAATTTGCGTACTAAATGAAGCCTGGATTTTATGAATGTGTGTATAAGGGTTTTGGCGGCCTGCGGTGTGAAACAATGGCAGAGCCACCCAATGTTGTGGAGGTGGGGAAGGCAGAGCAGGTCACGGCATGTATGTGGGGTAGAAAGGATAGTTGAGGGTCAAACAAGACACCAAGGTTCCTGACTGACTTAGTAATGTGGAGTGTGCATCCATGGATGTTGATGCTGTCAGCGCCTGAGGTGAGGAGGCGCTGACGGGAGCCAATCAGGAGGGCCTCGGTCTTGTTGACATTCAACTATAGAAAGTTAACTCTCATCCAGGACTCGATGTCTGACAGACATTCTGTCAGGACAGCAGTGGTCCTGGAGTCAAGGGTGGAAGCAGAGAGATAGACATGGGTGTCATCCGCATATATGTGGAAGTTGACCCCATGTCTGCGGATGATGTCACCAAGAGGGAGCATATAGATATTGAAGAGGAGGGGACCAAGGACAGAGCCCTAAGGAATGCCGCATGAGATGGTGCGGGGACTAGAGGAGAAGCCGTTTGTGGAGATGAAGTGGAGGAGGTTAAGTTAAATAACAGCAGCCCTGTTGCAAGGCATGTCTATTTGTGTAACGGCATGAGGAGATAACATAGGTTACAGCAATATTTAAACATTAATTCTAACTATTGTGAAACTTTGTTGAACGCTTCCCGGAATTCCACTTTTTTTATGATTCAGTTCCAAACTTTTTTTGGCTAAATTTATGAGCGGAGGGAGTGTTAGGGTCACCCCATCAATCCACACTGTTGCTATTTGCAAAGTTGAACACTGTCAAACAAGCACTGCTCTTTATTTTAATCTAATATCTGAATTAAGTGTGGATCATATGGCAAAATACTGTAACAAACAAGGATTCTTCAACATGAACAAATTTTCTGACTGGATTATTTTAGGATTTATTTTTGCTACTGTACAAGTTATGCAGAATAACACCTTTCCAATTACAGTATGAACCTCTGATATGCATTCTATATGTAGAGGTCATTCAGAACTCTGCAGCTCGTGTACTGTCCCGCACCAGGCTTCGCGACCACATCACTCCCACCCCTCGCTCGCCTCCACTGGCTCCCCATCCCCCAGAGGATCGAATTCAAGATCCTCATCCTCACCTACAAGGCCATTCACGGCCTTGCTTCCTCCTACCTCTTCGACCTACTATCCCCCTACTTACCTTCCCATAACCTCCGTTCCTCTGGCTCCGGTCTGCTCCACATCCCCCGTCCCAACTGCCCTACCATCGGTGGCCGGGCCTTCAGCCGCTCAGTCCCTAGACTCTGGAACTCCATCCCCCGGTGCCTTCGCCTTGCTTCCTCCCTTTCCTCCTTCAAGGCCGGTCTCAAGACCTTTCTCTTCAGCCGTGCCATCAGCTCTCCTCTCGACTCTCTACCCCTCCTCGCTGCCTCCCTTCCCTCCCCTCACCCTGACCATTTCCCCCCTGCTCGGGTCCTGACCCAACTGTCCAGCGTCTTGGGACGTCCTCCCAACGTGAAAGGCACTCTATGAATGAAATCTTGTTGTTGTTGTTCTAAGTCAATTATATCAGCTGTTCAAAGTAAATTAACTGCCCATTTTAAGCAACTGTGCTTCAAAGAATTTTATTGCTGCCTTCGATCACTTTCAGGAAATGCATCAAGAACTCTGTAATATAATGCTAAAAAGTCTTGGGCTGTAGCTTTCTCTACAATAGCTGTAATTGGCTTTACGTGTATATGTGATCTTCAAAAGACTATTCCATTTTATTATTAATAATAAGAATCCTTGCATTAAATACAGTGCCTTTTCAGGTCATCAAAACCTCTCAAAGCACTTCAGAATTTACGGTAAAGTGCAGTGACTTTATTTTGTAGACAAACACAGCATTCAATTTCCACACTGCAATGTTCCACAAAACAGACATGAGGAATTGCCACAAAAGCATCCATAAAGTGAGTGACCAATTTTACCTGTGGGGTTCTTGGCCAAGACACTGTGAGAAACTCCCTTCTCTTTTTGAATTGGGCCATGGGATTTTCAACATACACCTGGACAGGGAGGCAGGAACTGAGTTTAACATCTCATTCGAAGAACAGCACCTCCAACAATACAGAATTTGAGTGTCAACTTATGTCCACTTTCTTCTTGTACATTTCCTCAAAGTCAGCAATATTTGCACTAATAGTTCTAAAAGCATTTGTCTCACACTGAAGTAACACTTCAAGCCATGGCCTGATCTCCAACACCTCACCTAAGTGGCACGTCTTTAAGTCTGAACCTAAAATGAGAATGGGCGATGTAAATCTGGGGGCAATCACTGACCAGCCTGATCCTATCCTTACCTGCCGCATCTCAAAATATAAGATTTAAACTTAGACTATTGGAATCTTCTTATATTCAATCTTAATTTTTCTCACCAGTTTTCAGCAGTTTCTTTTAACGTTCTTTTAAAAGCTTCAACTCTGCATTTAAGACTTTCAGAAATCTAGGACAGTTGTCATAAAGTTAAGACTATGGGGAATTTCCGACCTCAGAGAAGGATAATATTTTGGTTAGCTTCTCATATTTCTCCATAGCTGAACAGCCTGCACAATTTTTGCTCACGTATTAGCAATGGCCACTTGAATAAGGTACTAGAGATTCCAGCCACCCAACTATGCCTTAGGTCAAGTCAGTGCATCAAGGCAGGAAGAGGGAAAAGAAGAAAAAATGTACGCTATTATCGCGGGTCTCTTAATATGTTGCTGGATATTTTAGTCAGAGGCTGTAAATACTATAAAAGCTCTCAGCCAGCTAAAAGAATACACTTCGAGTCTGAACACAACTCATGTAACTCATGTTTATCACTGATTTTAAAATAATAATAATCTTTACATTTGATATAAAGCCTTTCACATCAGAGGATGCCCCAAAGTGCTTCACTGGATATAGTACAAAATATAGTGACTGTGTGTTTTGTGGGTGAATGTGACAGCCAATTTATCCACACCAATGTCCCACAAACAGCCATGAAGTGAATGACCAATTTAATCTGGGGGATTGTTGGCCAGGACACTGGGAGAAACTCCTGTCTCCTTTTGAATAATGCCTTGGGATCTTTATCTTGAACAGGCAGATGCTTGGTTTAACATCTCATGCGAAGCACAGAACTTCAATGCAGCGAAATCCTAGCACTGCACTGGAGTGATGATATTAATTCCAAGTCCTGATGTGGGGTTTGAAGCCACAACCTTCTGATTCAGAGGATTTGTACAGATGTTTTCATTCTATATGGATACTCACGAAGGTCTCTGATAATGGATAGTACCTCCCATGATACAAACGCTCCACCGCCATCATCCATCGCTCCACTCCCAACATCCCAGCTGTCTAAGTGACCACTAACCAACACAACCTGGAGACAAAAGGGTTTTGTTAGCAATGTAATAAACAAACAAAGTGAAGGCAATTTAATAAACAATCCAAAGTGACCACATTTTCTTAAATTAGATATTATTGTGTAACATGCAATGATTTCTAACATGATTCTTAAACAAGGAGTTTGAACCTGGCCTCCAGCCAGTAAGACACCTGCAAGGCCATCAACTACAATTTACGTTTAAATAGCATGTTTTACATTGAGAGAATGTCCGTTTGAGACTTCACACAACTCCACTTCGATAGTAGATTGTGCCAGAGCAGAACTCTCATGGCTCAGTGTGATGTATATCTGGTTTATTTATTATTATTAATAAAGTCGCTACATTGGGACTCGAAACTCTTCATCCAGACTGACACTCCAGTGCAGTGCTGAAAGTGCACTGGATTGTTAAATGTGCTGTCCTTCGAATTAGACGTTAAACTGAAGTTCAAGTGGATTTTAATGATCCCATGGCACTATTCGAAAAGAGAAGAAGTTTCCCTCAGTGTCCTTCAGATAAACATGGTTACTTATTCATGGCTGTTTATGAGGCAATGCTATGCATAAATTGGCTGCCATGTTCACCTACATCTACACAGTCACTACACTTTACAAGTGTTGTCTCTAAAGCTTTTTGATACCCTTCAACTTTCTAAGTGCCATATCAAATGCAAGGACTATTTTTACCAACACCTCTATTCTTTCATATTTCTTTAACAGTATTCTTTAACAGTTTCTTTAACAGTATTCACCTTTCCATCGCTCTCTGTACTACAATCTTGTAATAAGGCCTCTGAGTTCTGAGCTATTTCTGCCTCAACGGTGCTTGAAGCATCTATGCAGCTGACACTATCAGAGCACTGTGAGTGATATGATAATACCAGCTAAGAGATCAGTTTGCTTATATTTATCTAGATGTCACAGCTCTGCTGTCAGCATCTTTGCAGAAGTATAGACATAGCTATCTGTTTTCTACATGCTTGGATACCAGTTTTTCAGACTAACTAACTATTGTGCAGTGGGTCACAAGAATGCAGTAGTGTAGAAGTCCTTTGTTGGCACTTCTCAAAGACAAACTGACCTCAGCTGGAATGATTGGGAGAGATGTTATCTGGCATAAGAGGATTGGCATAGTTCCTAAAAGTACTTACATATGAATAGGAAGAACATAATGAAATGAATAGAATAGATAGGACCAAATGCACTGGGAGAAACTCTCCTCTTTTATAACAATTTCATGGTTTCTTTCATGTCCACTTGAAATGGTGACTGACCCTCGGTTTATCATCGAAAGCAAAGGCCGGCATCTCCAACAGTCAGGCGTCGCCTCTGAGTTTGAAGTTTTGAGCCTCACGTGGAGACTTGAAACTCACAGTTTAGCTTCACACCAGTACAGTTCTAGGGATGCGCTGCCTTGTTAGAAGTGCCATCTTTGAATGACACGTGAAACCAATTGTTCAGTGGATGTCTAAGATCAAATGACACTACTCGAAAAGAGAAGGCAGTTTCCTGTATCCTGGCCAACAATCCTCCAAATTCACTGACGCATTCGGCAAATGTTAGTCACAATAAAATCCTGTGAAGCGTTTTGAGACATCTTGATCACATGATATATCAAATGCAAGGATTATTATAATGCAGTGCTACCTCAGCACTGAACTTGATAGTCTGACACATGTAGAAAACAATCGCCATGATGAAGATTGTCCAAACCAGAACAAATTTTGAAGGGTAATGATTCCTTCAAAAAAAATAAGAAGAATTTGGTGACTCATGAAATCACACTACACACAATAACATGTGTATCTTACGCAGTGCTTTGAGATGTCAATGATGTGATAAGGTGCTATATCAAATTATTAATAATAATTATGTTCCGATATCTTAGCCAATGATCCTCCAAATGGATTGATCATTCATTGATGTCCGTGGGATGTTGTTATTGCAAAGGATTGTTGTTTTTGCCTACAATAAACAGTCACAACGCCTGATATTAAATGCCTATGAAAAGTTATAAGTCAAGTCAATTTGCAATAAAATTCAACCTCTTTCTTATCTGATCCTGTAACTTGAGGGGAAATGGGAGCGTGAGATTGGGTGTGGTAATTATCATCGTTTGAAGCCAGTATATGTAGCAATAATAATCTTTGCATTTGAGATAGCACTTTATCACATCAGGAGCACATCTGCAAGTACTTTAAAATGTAGTGATTGTGCATTTTGTAGGAAGAACAATATCTGGTGAACCAGACAATTAGAACTCGGGAACTCGATAGATATCTAAACAGCAGCAAATTGGAGCAGTTTGGAGAACGGGCAGGTAAATGGAACTAAAGGATTCCCCTTTAAAAAACCAGGACAGACACAATGGGCCAAATAGTCTTCTTCTGTGCTGTAGATTTTCATGGTATTGTGGTGAAGCAGGATTAAAAAGCTATTCCCGTAGCCAGGAATAAGGAAGCCCCCTCTCCCATAATACACACATTCCATGCATCCTAAAAAAAGATGCTGACATTTAATATTTAGCCAAAACCATTCTACCACAGTTGTGTGGGGAGGGGGCTAATCCTGCACCTGTTATTACAGACAGATTAAGTACGCATTTGTACTTTGTTTTTGTCCATGTGATAATTATTCCCCGACCTTCCACAAAACATTTATAAATGTTATGGCCAGTTACGAATGTGACTTTTTGTTTTCTCTCTACCCTGGACACACACTCACAACACAAACCAATACTATTGTCATGTTATAATTTTCTTGCCTCTCAACACCAGCTTTTATTTCCTATCTGATTTCATAAATCTCTGTCTGTCCTTGTGTAACAAAGAGCACAATTCTCACAATGAAGGTCTGGTACACTCAAGGACAGATCACAGAACTATTACAATTGCAATTTACAGTTATATAAAGACTGTTACCTTGAGAGGGCATCTCAAAGTTCTTCACACAGGGAGATAGGCAAAGGCATGGTCAAAGAAAAATGGGTCTTAATAATAATAATAATAAGTTTTGCATTTGATATGGCTCCTTATTATGCCTTCTTATTGTTGTTGATCCATTTCAAACCTCTTCACAGAATATATTGTAAAGGGATTGGCTGTGTATATTGTGGACGAAACCTCGCAGCCAATTGCACACAGCAGCGTCCCACAAACAGTCAGGGATTGAGTGACCACATTTTGTTTTAAGGCATGCTTTGAAGATGCGGATGGAGAAGTCTAGGATGGAGTTCCAGCACGCGCGGTCAGAATGTCTGAAAGCTCATCCACATATAGCAGGCTAGTGTTGTCAGGGAGTAACCAGGGCAGTACGGTTAGCGGAGGTCACAGAGGTAGTGAAGGGTGAGGCCTGGGGGCATAAGAAATCTGAGACACGAGATCTCACTCCAGTTTATTTGGATCAGGTCAGTGTTTACACTGCTCTACTTCAGTCATTTATTCTTCTGGCACATTTCAGCTCCTTCCTGGTGCTCATTGTTGTATAATGCTCAGTTGAAGAAGTATCATTCAGTCTTTGTTAGAATTAATCTAACCCATTAGAAACAATAGGATTGTTTGCAGTTTATAGCAAGCGGAGGCAGCTGCTCTCGGTTTTCAACAAATACATTTATCATCCTGAAACCAGTCAAAGCAAAACTTTGTTTGTTTCAAAAGAACAAATTCTCACAAAGGAGCTAAACGAAAGATCACAGATGCATAGATACCCTCACAGGAAGGAGGGGGAGAGGTCATGCAGTTATCAAATTTCCAGAAGAAACCCTCACTCATATTACAATAAACTCCTGATAATAATAAAAATAATAATAATACTTCTATTTGATATAGCGTCTTATCACGTCTTCGAGACGTCTCAAAGGGCTTTATATTGTAAAGTGATACTGAGCACAGCAGTGTCCACAAACAGTCGTAGATTGAGTGATCAAATTATTACTTAACATTTTTTTAAAGGGATTATTACCCCCGGAAAAGCGATCCGCCAATCGACTAACAACCAGGTTTCTGCTTATTGCTTGGTAAACAGAGGCATGTGGAGTAAGGAAATTTGCCTAACATTTCACCCTACCCGGGAATCAAACCCAGGTCCTCTCTCTTGTGAGGAGAGCGCTCTAACCACTAAGCTACAGGAATCCACAAAAACCCAACCATCATCAATACAAGAGCTTTGCTCAACACCCATTTTTACTGTGCTGCACATTGTCGATTAGACTCCTGGTCTGTCACTGCTGATCCTCTCTTCCTTAATAAATTTGCCTAGATTTCTCTTGAGTGAATAGAATCTATTTGCATGAGCAGTATCTGATAAGTTGACTGCATGTTGACTGACTCGGCTACTTTACCCAGTTCTCTGGAACTGTATTCCAAAATCCTTCCTCTTCGTCTCCTCCTCAGCTTTCAAAAGCAGTCTAAAATAGGATCTCTTCAATTGCACTTTCAGCCACCATCCCTAAACCCTCCCGTCTCCCTTCCAGCTCAAGCAAGCGCAGAGTCTTTGTAAAGTCCTTGATTTGTTCTCCCTATCATAATAATAATCCTTGTATTTGATATAGCGCTGTTCGCATCTTCTAGACGTTTCAAAGTGCTTCACAGAATATACTGTAAAGTGAATTGACTCTATATTTTGTGGGCAAAACCCTATGTAAAAGGTGCTATATTGGGACAAATTGTTGTTGTAACTACTAAAAGTTACATCTGGGTAGAATTTTGTGCTCATCATGATGCTTGAAGGAGCTATAACTTTAAAGTGTCAGCTTGCCTCAGTTAGATGGTAGAATTCTCGCCTCTGAGTCAGAAGGAGTCATGGATTCAAACCCCACATTGGGATTTTGAACTCACATAGTCTAGACTAATGTGGGGCAGTTGTTATTAATGCTGGAAACCGAAATGTTTCTTTATTCAGGAGATACTCTGTATCACAAGTTGGATAACATATTTAGCGTTACAGTTGCCTGGCTCAGTGGTTGCACTCTTGCCTGAGTCAGAAGGTTGTGGGTT